TGCACGTCATATCCGAGGTGCGGCTGTTCTCATGTGTTTTTCCATGGTGTTGTGACTGTGATCGCCGTTCTGGGAAGCGAATTCTTAGGTAGCTACTACACTCATCTCGTCTTTTCTTAGTGTGGTTGGAAAGGACACATGGTGGCAATACCTGGTAACGTTATTTGTCATAATGACGATTGGCTAATTTTATACGGTTTGGAATGTGGCGTATATGCTCCTCCCTTTGACATAATCCGTCTTTTTGGAATAGGCATTATTGTTGTAATCGTCTTATGGCCACGGTGAACTTGTAGATATGTGTTGTCTTATGCAAACAAGGCTTATGCTCAGCTCAGTTCTATACCAGCCCAACCAGAATGTGCGTAGCTAAACGAGTTTCACGCGCATAATGCATTTGCATCTCATACGTGGGTAAGGCACTTTATGTCATGTCAATTAAATCATATCGCGATTTTTGTCATTCGTATCAGCGCTTAAGCAGGGTTTCAATCACTGGTTACGACAATGGATATGACAGGTTATGCGTGCGCACGTCGTGACATTTATAATCGTTTGAACACACCGATGACCGGCGCGGCGACCGCCGGTTTTCCGCATATACTTGAGTGCTGACTACGTTCGACAAAGGCTCAATCGGAGCGGCCTCCGATTCATATCTGCATCGATTTGCATGCAAACTTCGCAGTAGCACTAAAGGGCACAGGAGTTCGCGGTAGCCTGAAGAATTTTCTCCGCCCTAACGACTCAAACTCCGCGGACGTAAAAGTGTTGGACGGTGGTAGTATCGGCCTGCATTCGTTTATGAGTCGGCAATATCAAACCCGCAACGGACGTGTTCATTAACGAATGACGGCGCTTAATGAGTTGCTTCGACTGCAAAAATTGATCCGAAGAAGCGATGCAGAACTGGAGACGTGAACGGCGGTGCTGACACATTCAGAGGGTGCTCCTTGAATTGAATCTCCTTATCTTCCCGGCGGCGGCGCGGCGGTGTCCTGTGCCGCGCCGGCACCCGTGCACGAGCCGACTTCCTGTGCACGCGCCGTGCACCGTGCTGACGGCGGTGCAGTGCACACTTGGCCGCGGTGCAGACGGCTGAGCCGACAGGGGGCCGGTGGCCACCCGCACCGGCGCCGCTCCGAACCGCCGCCAGCGTTTGGATCGCACAGCGGGCCTGTCTCTCTCCGGCGCCCCCTGCTGATCGCTGCCACCGCTGCTGCGCTCTGAGAGCTGCCCCCGCTCACCCCTGGGACCGCACCTGGCGTGCACGTGGCCGGTGGGGTCACATTCAGTGCGTCCGGCTGTCACTGAGCCCGGCGGCTGTAGACTGTCACCTTGTCCTGCTGCTGCCGCGACTCCCACACAGCAAGCCACGACATTTACGGGACAGGACCTAGACCTAAATCTGTCGTTCATATTTAAAGCAGCGCACAGGTACGCTATTTTGTCCCCCTTCCAATAACTCGCAACTCTCAGCACTGTTTCCCAAGCCATGCCACTAAAGCCGTCCGCCACTGCTTTTAGCGAGCTGACCGCACATTTCCGCTCAGAGAACGCCTTTGGGACATCCAGTGAAGATAGCTTTGCCACTGCTCCAGCATGCGGCCAGGTCCGGACCATCGCTGCTGTTGCGATGAACGAAGGCTTAGACCCTCAACTGTGGAAGTCGGGAGTGCAAAGTCAACCCGGCCGAGCCTCTCCGGGCACTCGAGGGCACGAGGCACGTCTCGGCTCGGCCGTTCGTGCTCTTCACCACGCCAGCTTTGTTTCACGTCGTGTTCGGCTCGCTGGGTCTGCACAGTTACCAGGCAGACGAGCACTGAGACGGGGCCTCCACACAGCCGGCCAGACGCTATGAAGACATTTGTGAATAAAGACTGTGAAGTTACGGGGTGATAATTTATGCTAATTGGCCGAGTGCGTGCTTGGCGGGCCACAAAGATCGGTACTTGGCGATCCGGCGGGCACTGCTGAGAGTGACTCAAGACCAGACCGCGATTCGGGGCCAGGGCCGCCGGCGCTGTTCAGTCAGAAGTTTTTGCCTTTGAGGGTGAGCCAGAGATGCATACTGAGCCAGGAGTAGCGCACATGCCCTGCGAAAGTCATCAACCAAAAGGGCACACGATTTGCACGTTGATGCACATACGCCCACGCGTCTCACGTGGGCATGGGTGAATCCCCATGCCGCTCGTGCAGTGGAAGCATGCACTGCTATAAGTAAAACGAGATAGTTCAGATAATGCACCTTTCACCCATGGCGATGGCATTCGGGAAAATATGAGGCAATCAAATAACCTCTGTAAAAATGGCGAAGTGGAATGTGCTAGTGCAGCGGCCCGTCGGTGGAGTGGGCCCGTTGGTTGGCTCACTCACATGTGAATGAACTGACACACAGCGAACTGACGAAAGCCATCTGATGCGACTGTTGCTTGACAACCAGCGATATCTTTGGTGTGCTATGTAAAAGCAAATAAAAGCAACTCAAACATAAGTGCTATTTGTGAGACATTTGTAATGTGTGGAGAAGCTGTTTGAACGAGCTATGATCAGTGCTCACACTATACTTATACACAATACGACGGTAAATTCATAAAATATCTTATATGAAGGCATCTGGCCGAACATCTGAATACCGTAAGGTGGGGCTATTTGAGACAGTGGGGCTATTTGAGACAGTATTTAAAATTGTAATAAAATGAAAACCGTTTGATATTCATGCTTAATTTTTTGCTCAGGCGATTCACTGCTCGATTCAGCAACACCCTGAGCAAACATTTCACAAAAATATCAAACGATCTTCATTTTACAGTTATTTTAAATACTGTCTCAAATAGCCCCACTGTCTCAAATAGCCCCACTTTACGGTATCAATTTTCTCTAAGCTAAGCGGGGCGCGCGCCTAATGATTTGCGGCCCATTTCGGAGGCCGGGAGCCCCGGCCGGTGAGCTACTGCACCTGTGTGGTCTGCCGCCGCCGCGGGCCGGCAGTGACTTGCAGCAGACGGTGATTTCCCCAGATCAGCCCCGATAATACCGCCTGGCGCTGTCTGGGTCGGCGCGGCCGGTCTGCCTGCCGCAGACGGAGGGCCTCTCGGGCCTGAGGCAGGTCAGAGCGCCAGAGTATTAGTCCGTTACCGGCACAGTGACTGCCGACCAGCCAAGGGGTCCTATGGCTCCCCGGCGCGGCGGCACGCAGGCACGCTCAGCGTGCGGGGCCCACGCGGGCTGATTCAGGCAGGCGGGGCCGTGGGTCGTCCCGCACCCGACCGCAGCGGCCTCAGACTCTGATACTATCGGCCCGCGCCGAGAGCAGAGCTGCGGCCCGGACGCATCCGGGGCCGCCGCACGGGACTCCGCACGCTCAGCCCGCCCACGGAGCTCAAAGCCTGGTCCCGCTAAATCCATTCCGCCCACTTGCCCTATCAATTTCTGTCCGAATCTCTTCGATTTCAAGGGAGAGTATAACGCAATCTCTGCACTGTGCAAAGATGTGCGAGCTGATGTCGGCTTCGCCGGCGGCGTAGGACCGCTCGCGGAGAGGAGACAACTTCCCTCTCATTTCTGTGTCAAGGAGAGCGGCGGGCCCACGGACCGGCCAACTGACCGACCGACCGACCTCTCCGCCCTTATCAGTCGGATGAGTTACAATGGGATGACATGGGAACCGCGTGACTGTGGGATCGGCGCCGGAGGTGAGCGCCGTGTTGGGCGTCGGGCCAGCCGGGTCTATCACGTCACTTGTCGGGCCGTCACGCGTCGAATCACGGTCCTCTTGGAGGCTATTTGGAGGGCGTCACGCCAGAATACAGCGTGTCGGCCCATGTCACAGCCGTCACAACCATCTAAGTCCTCAGGTGATTTGAGCCTTCACAGCCGTCCAATTCGTCCTGTGATCTGAGCGTGCCGCCCTCGGATCCCGGCCGTTCTCGTCTCACTGCCGCGGACGTTTGTTGTGTGACATGGGGGTGAATGACGCCAAACAAGGGTGCTGAATCGTGGCGAGAGACCATCTGCAGCCCGCCACAGCCCGCCGCAATTCGCGGCGCAGTTCGCCGCAGCTCGCCGCAGTCGGTCGACTGCTTACTCTACTGACTCAGTGACTCGGTTGCGGTGGCTGACTCAGCTGCAGTCGGGCGGGGCGAAGCGACTCGGGTCTCTATTTCCGCCGTGTTTACCTGAGCGCCGCCAAGGTCCGGATTCACCTCCGGCCGCCTCTGCTGCCGTGTCGACTGAGGTCATCGCTGCACGGAGGGGTCGGCCGGCCGCGGAGCCGCCCCGGGGTCGCTCCCACAAGGACCTGAGGTCAGCGGTGATGCGGTCAAGTCATCAGCGCTGTGTCTGACACCTCCCGCACGGCGATAGCCGAGGGAGGGAGTCGATAGTGGGACGCGTCACGGCCAGCACGCGGGGATACAGTTTCTAGAAATATCAGAGGTGTGATCACATCATCGGCTGTGGTATTGCGGACCTGTGGTAGCACCGAAAATCAGAGACGCATCCGACGGCAGCTAGTTTTTCCGAACATTTTCAGTACCTTATAAATACGGGGTTCTGGATTGGTATCGAGTGCGCGCTGCGGCTTGGTATTCTTTGAAGGGCAAACGTGACGTTCGGCTTTTTCAAAAGAGCAATAAAAGTATGTACTGCCAATGACCTGGATTACATTTATTATTGAGCTTTGTAGCTGCAATGAATATTTTAATGCGAGTTGAGTGATGTTCGGTGTATCAATCAGTCCTTGTTTATTTTACGAACGTAGTGCAATGTCTGTGACGTTTTCGTTGCTCTAAAATCCTGGTTGTCACAATTTATGGTCTATTGACAAGCTTGTTGGTGCATTGACAAGGTAGCATTGTAAATTCATTTGATGCTGACGTGATTTTCGTTAATGTGTTTTGCTCTTATAATCTACGAGAAAAGCACGCACTGCCGTAAGAAACCAATCTCAACAGAGAAACTGTTAACAAAACTGACCTGTGTTTCTCTTTTTCCGACAGGAGGCCAGAATCAGACCTAAATACGTGAACGGTGCGAGTAAGTACCTTTCTGGCACGTCTGGTGACTGTGTCTGTGCCTAGACTAGACCCTAGCCGTATGATATGTTTCGTTTTACTCCTGCTGACCTTTTCTCTCCTTGGAATGTCCCGGGACATTCGCTCCTTGGAATGCCCCGAGGCACGTTCAGGCGGCTTCCGTCTGGTCGAGACTGGCCGTTTCGGAAGGCGAGCTGGGTGCCACGCCTCGGGGCGCTGGTTGCTCTAAACTCATACTCGGCGATAATTCATTACAGTAGTTATGTTACTTTTAAGTGTTTCGCAACGCCTTTTCAATTATTTTCAGGTGCAAATTGGCTTATTGTTTATCGCGAGTGTGATTGCTGTGTGAAACTAAGCATATTTTATATCTCCAATGTATTTTGGTAAGAAGAACACCATGATTTACCGTTTAACGCCACTTATTTTCGGGTGTCTTTTTGCAATTACCCTACTTCCAACACTGTCCAGCGAAAAGGCTAGGCCTGAAAAGTTCAAAAAATGTCCACCAAGTTTACGGCACCATGGCGTTCGACATCAAAGTCTCACTATCCCCGTAGTAACACTTGGTGATTCTGATCAGCCGCCTTTTGTCCCACCGGCTATGCAGTGGATCAGCCGGTCGTATGGGGCGGGTTTCCCCACTGGACTGCCGGCTCGGCGGCAGGCCCGACCCAGTGCAGAATGTATGCTAACGAGACGGCGGCAGAAGCAGCGCACCCGATCGGGAGGCGGTCAGGTCGTGCGCCGAACCGACCGCCGAGATTGGTGTATCGGCCCTGTCTCGAGCACCCCGGAGAGGGATGAGCCGTCTCGTCGGTCACCAAACCGGGCGCCCACGCGACGAGACAATGTCGTGGGTGCGGTGCTCTTGTCACAGCGATGAAGGGCAAGGTGTGGTTCGGGGATATGGAAATGCTGGATCGATGAAAGGGGATGATGAAGGACAAACGTGACCGCGCGCCTCCGTCATGAGGCAGATGGCTGTTGGATACGGCCACTCTTACCTCTACTCGCCAGCGCGGTCAATCGTGATGACTGTGGTGGACAGACAGGCGGCAAGAAGGAGGCGCCAGACGAGGAAAGTGGCAACGGCAGCACAGGTCGCTTGAATGAACATTTCCGCGAAGGGGCCCTTTATGTCAGCGAGGCGAAACATGGGGCAAGTTAGGAAACGAAAGCGCCACTAATGTTCAACAAATAACCACTTTGAAAAGTGCCTTGGCGGCGGCAGCATTTGTAAAGGATTGTTCGCTTGCAAAGAATTGTCACTATCGAAGAGCTTAGGCTGTTGATTATTTGACTTTCTGCCAGAGGTAACTGGCTAGCTAAGTGTTAACCCCTGAAAGGTAAATAATACCGGGAGCTCACCGGGGAGACGTTTGAATGCATAGAGCGTGCTTGCCACACACCGAGCACTGCCATCTGTCTGTGCTGCAGCTGAGAGCCATAGGTCACTGCCGAGCCAGCCGCTCTGTCCGATAAAATCACACGTACTGCGTGGTGTTTGCTACTTCTTGTGGCCACACTTACTGGTTTGAATATACGGCACCACCCATCAAATCACTTGGTATGTTTGCCGAATCCCATCGCTCAGCTGCGTCCCGTTGTCGGGGGTCTGTTTTCGTCATTAGCATTCCTGCTTTCTTCAGCCGCCATCGATGTATCTCGGTCCTCGCTGTCGCTGCCTTCGTGTCATAGCGCTATCGGATTCACATGCACGCCGCTTTCCATACCGCCTCCTCGCGATGCGGCGCCGATAGACGACCGTCCCGTATGCGCGATAGACGCGATGTCCCGTATTTCCTGGCGGCAGGGCGTCGGTCCCGGACCCTCTGACTTCTGAGCGACCATCTGCCTGCGATTTCCATCGCACAGCGCCTATCCAGATATCTCGGACGCCGCGGGCTGGCCCACCTAACGAAGATGCCGGCCAGACTCGTCGTGTTCGCTCGTCTCGTCTCGTTCGTGTCGTCTCGCCTCGTCTCGTTTCGTCTCGATTCGTCGCGCCTCGTCTCAGGTGTCAGCTCGTTTTCTTCCTCATCTCATCTCGTTTCTTTTTAAGTCGTCTCTTACAGAACACTGCCTTACTTCTTCATCTCCTTCCCTACTTCTTCCATGTCTGCGAGGTGGCATAGCTGAAGCAAGTCCTCCTTCGCACAGGGATGTGTGCGTGACCTGACTTCGGGGTGGTGTGACCGCGTCACGGGCCCCGACGATGTCGGTGCTGACTGCCTCCGACGGGAATCCGGCCTTGGCGGAATGTCAAGTACCGGATCGTGTCGGTGCGCTGCCGGGTGCATTGTTTGACGTGAAGCGGCCACGTCGACATATCGCCTCGACACGGACGGCAGCTGTCGCGGCCAGTTTGTCGTCGGACTCGTGACTGGCGTGCCTGGACACTGAGGTCACCTGAAGGAATAATAAGCCCACCTGTCTTAGAGCTACGCTCAGTCAGAAAGGCACGCTCCGGAAAGACATTGCGTAAATACAGCGGAGAAAGATTGCCTAGTGCCTAGTGGTGTGGCTTGTTTGACGACATGAGATCGATACTACGGTGTTTCCAGGCAGAAATGCATGAACTAGCGTATCGATGATCACATCGTGTGTGATCATGCTTCCTACTATGGTCTGCTTTCGAAAGCTGGGCCTCTTTATGGACGGGGCGGTACGCGGCAGGTCGGCCGGAGGTAGCATATACGGCTTCTCCGAACGGCCTCTCCAGGCGGCTGTGCCATGGCCTCTGATCTCGACATCCCAGCGATAGATTAATAGACTGTTAATACACTCTCTGGCCATGGTAGCAAGCGAGCCCTCAGCACGCGATCGTAACGAATGCGCCACTCCCTCAGTAATTATAATTAGGTGTCAATAATGCGGAGGCCCGCTCCACCGGCGCCGAAAACTGTGGTCAGGCATCATAATGGCGCCGCCAGCGCTCGGCATGCCCAAATACGTGTCCGGGCGGTAACCGGCCGACGACGGGTGACGTGACTCATGATGGGTTGGCGCCATTAGCGTCACCTCATGTCAAACTGCGGGCCGCGCCGGGGCCGCCCGGCCGCCGGGTAGGAGACTGGTACTCGGCGACCGGCCGAAGTGCAAGGACGGCGAAGGGGACTCACGATGCCGGCGAGCGGTTGTGGGCGGGGCCAGCCCGCTATGGTTTTGACACGTGGTCTCAACGGCCATTGCGTGTCGCGTGTCTGCACGTTTCGATCTTCAGACTGAACGGTGATACCGCGAACTCGGCCATTACGTGAAATAAATACGGCATGCATAACCGTGCCAGAATTTATTGCCCCCTGAGTTGAACCCAGTGAATTTCGCCGACGTTTGTTCTTGGCGTTTAATGACTGCATAAAAAGCTACCACGAACCACCTGCGGTGGCTCCAGACGCAATGAACTAACAATAAATTTAATGACCCAATGAATTAGTCTGTGCCGCACTCACCTATCACCACCAGGTCTGGCGGCGGTCCCGGTCGGAGCGCGTGCGCGCCGCGCTACCCCGTTCATCTCCTGGTCGTCGCCGACAGGGCCTCCCTCGGCGACCGGATATGTTACACAATGACGACGCCCAATGGCGAGACCGTGGTCCATTGCAGCGATCACCTGAGCCCACGTAGTGACCAGTCCCGCTGACCTAAGAGCCCCATCGGCTGGCATGTGAGCGCCGCCTGACACCGCTTGTAAAGCGTTGTAAAGCGCCTGAAAAACACGTCCAAAAACCCTACGCTGCGCGTGCAGGTGGCGTCATCTTCTAGGTCTATCCATCACCCTGGCGTGACCTGGAGTGGGTCGCTCGTACTGCCTGTTGGTGCGCCTGTTGGTGCACTTGCTCCGCGCGCCGCCCTCGTGCGCCTGAACGCGCGCTGGCGCTGGCTGTGCTGCTCGCCTGTTGTCGCATCCCGCGACGGAGAGGGCGCCTGTTTATCTGGCTGTCCTGGGCCCATTATGTCCGCGGTGCTCGTCGCCCAGCCTTTTTGCCTGATTTAAGATAATGGCACGCCGGACGGCGGTGTACGATGACATCTGATAGCTCACCGGGCGGCGAGGAGGCCATGATGTCGCCGGGGAGGCACTGGCCAGCGGTCAGTGGTCGCCGGTCAGCGGTCAGCGACCAGCGGCCTTTGGTCACTGGCCAGTATACATAGTGGTCGATGAGCAATGGTCTATGGTCAGTGGTTGATTTTCATTGGGCAAGGATCAGTCTCAGACTTTTCAACTCAGCGATTGTTGGAGGGAGGAGCGCGTTCTGACCGGGTGGTGGGATGCCGCGCACCCGGCGCGCTGTCAGTGGAGCCGTTCCGCCCCTGACACCTGTCCCTGACGTCACTCCCGTCAACTACCCGGAGCTGTTCGCCACCCTTTAATGTCAGTTTCTCCGACCTGTCAATCCGTCTGACCTGTCAGGTAGCCGTCCTGAGGCCTCTTGCACCAAAATCCTCTTGCACCAATGCTTGGATAATTTTGCATCGTATACCCAGTCCAAGTCTCAAATGTAACAATTTGCGTGCAAAATTTAGCAAACACATGTAGGATTATCTATTGGGCTATTGCAAACAAATTAACCACCGCTAGATTAGCTTGTTCTGAAACAGGTTTTTCGATTTTACCTAGCTATAGTTTGGTGCAAGAGGCCTCTGTTCACCGGTTTGACGGTGAACTGCTCTTTGAATCGAGTGAACGCCGATTGCTCTTTCTTGAAGTCTGTTCCCTCGGTTGACGACTCCCAGGCGTGATTGCTTCATCTGCACTTGAGTTTCCTTTTTCTTGTTTCTTGATTTGCTCTTATCTTAACTCGTTAGTCGCTTACTAAACGTCTACTGATCATTGGGTGTTCTCTTATTCTGAATTTCTTTAAAACTTCTCTTTCTTGTTTATGTTTGTCACTGCCGACTGTCGAAGGGAGAAGTACCATCTTGTGCACCCCTCCCCTCCCATGGACTCGCCTGAGCCAGCTAGGGAGCTTCGCGGTGGGTGTCAGCCCCGCCCTT